TAAAGTAATTTCAAGACCAATTTTGTGTTTAGTTTAGTCTCACTCGACTGCCGACTGAGACTGCTCGAGTGTTGTTCTGAGTTATCTTCTGAAAAAGAAATGGCTTTAACTTTCTTTTTCCTACTTCTCGTACCTGTTCAATGCCTCGACAAGACTTTTTTGTTCCTTTTCTTTCGCCCAGTCACGTAAAATATTACCTGAATTCTCAAAACTTTCCGCCATTTTAAACCACAGAGGAAAAAACTTTGAAATGATGACATCAATCGTGCGTCTGTCCTCTAATAGATCATAGGCAAGAACCAATCAAAATGCGAGAATAATTCGGGTTATTATATAATCTGTTGCAAAGCACGCAGGAAACGGTAGAGCACGAAAAAGTGTAGGGGAAACACGAGACGTAGTCGAATGCTTCTTCCCAGCGACTTCGACACGTTAATAAAGTTCTTATCAGTTCTTCTCTTATCTTGTCTTATCCTCCTACTTATCGAGTGCTCTATTGCCTCCTAAGTGCTTTACAACAGAACAGAGCACAGTTGAGCCTTCTTAATTGGTTTTATGATAAAGAATTCATGAATTTCCTCCCTCCCCCCACATTCAGCTTACCTATATTTTCAACACAAACTTTACTTTCCAAACGGGGAAAAGTGGCGTCAGCGTGCATCTGTTCTCTGATAAAGCACGCTAAAATAAGCCAATCGTAATCCTTGTTAGAATTGCTCAAATAATTTAATTGGGTAACGAGATGATATCTGTCAACCACAAACTGGACTTCAGTTAAGCTTTCGTTTTCGAGTGGCTTTCGAGAGAAGAGCGATCGCTTCAAAGTTAGCTTTTTAGTTTGATTTAAAAATAAGGATCTAAAAGTTTCTAGTCCAGAGGAATCCGACTGTACTGCGGCTCATGAAAACGTGCACTTTTCCAATGTAAATTTGGAAACAAAGAGCTCAAAGCTTGGGGATGAAAATGCAAAATACTGAGCTGTATTTGAAAGGAGCTACAGTTATTTACGGTTTGCAGCAAGATTGCCTGAACCAACGTCCAAGTTGGAAAGACTAAACTGCTCCCACTGGTTCTACTCCGAGTACAGGAGAGAATATTAGAGCAAGCTTTCAACTGATTACTCGTCGGGTGCATTGTGGACGGGTTAATTGTTGAGTCTCACTTCGCTGAGATGACCGGAGATCGCTATTTAGCGAACGAGCCTTACTACACTACATGTAAGTGTTGTTTGAGCATTTTTACAAAAATAAAGCTCCTTATCATAAACAGAGACAGCTCATGTGGTATTTTCTGTCGTTTTACTTCTAAAGCATAATTTCTGCCTGCGTAAAAAAAAATGTCTTTTATCGTGGCATTCGCTAGGTTGAAAATTTGTTTATTTCGTAACGTGATTACCGCGTTTTGTCGGAATCTAGCAAAACTTGTTATTTTAGTACAGTTTTAATACTTCTGTTGTTAACAATGGCCTCCAGGCAGCTATTTTTAATGCAGACAAATAACTCGTTTCCATTGCGTTTGTCTGAGTCACAGGGAACGTTTGATTTGGGTCAAATTTGTCAAAATTCCGAAGCAAAAATTTGAAATTCAGCTTACCGTGCATCTGTTCTCTGATAAAGCACCCTGTTTCAATCAGAGCGCGCGTTATATGGAAACTTTATAATAATTGTTAAATATTCGATAGTCATTCCATCGACTGTTATTGGATACTCGGTGATTATAACCAAATCACGTGGCGCAATACTTCTGGTTGGTTATGTGCATCGTTTGCATAAATAATTATGCCGAGTTATTCTCGCACTGTGATTTGTTCTTACTTATGATCAATTGGAGAACAGACGCATGGAAGACTTTATTAATATATTTTTTGTTTCTTTGTTATATAAGACAGGTAGATTCCATGTTGCCGTCTCTCTTGTCAGAAATAGATCACAGATGACGTCAAAATATGGTGAAAACGTAAGTGACGAACCCGGCTAACGGCTTGTGTGCCACTTTATTGTTCTTACCACATTTTGACGTGACCTCTGATTAAATTGTTGTACGGCACGGCAACAAGGGATGTATTTGTTAAATGCACAATGATTATTTATTAACCAGCCGTTGCTCCTGCTTTTTGCTGCTTCGCAACAAAATAATTGTTATTAGCGGAGCTCTTTCGGGCCGCCAATCGGAGCACCATACCCATATAGGAAAGTAAAGGGAACCCATGAATTGATTTTCTCAAGGTTATCATGGCTAGCGGTATTGCTCGTGGGCGTGTACGCACGACGACAACGACGGCGGAGTCGCGCAAGATGGCGGGCATACTGCAGTTAATACGTTGACAGAGACATGCAGCCTTTGTTTATAGCGTACTTCTTTGATATTGAACATCCATGCTACGGTCAATTGACAACTGTCAAAACAAGGTATCCGCTGATCATAATCACGTGACCATATCGCTGACTCAAGTTTAGGGCTCATCGAGGTCACGTGTCTTTTAAAGTTGACCGCTGACCAATGTTCGGTTTTTGATTGAATCGCGGGCTCATTTCAGGTTAACTTGTTGTAAATAGTTGTTCGGGAGGCGTTTAAAGCTAACCCAGGATTAAAAGTTAACCAAAGTATAAATTTTTATTGTACACAAAAGTTTTGCACTCCTTTTTTTTGTGTAGTTTGAGATTATTCAAACTCAAAACAGTAGGCCAAACAATATTCAGAAAACCTCAACGCAAAGTTGCGAAACTGAAATCAAAATTCTCGCTTATCCTAGGAAAGCTTAATTGAGCTTTGAACAACCTGGCCCAGGAGCTCCGCTTTTAGGCTTGGCTAAATCAATATGTTAAGGTGATTCCTTAGTATTGCGTCTCGCATCCCTACTGCGCACGATTTTTGCGTCATTAGCGCGCGCAAATGAGCGCGTGCACTTACATAACGAAAGAGATTTCCCTCAAGTTAAGCTCGACAGCGAAATAAATGCTTGTTTTCTCTTAAACGAGCATGGTAACCTATATTTTTTATTGCATAATTTCAACGAGAACAGTATCCTCAATAACTGAGAAAAAAATTAGCAGAAATCTGTGGCTACGTTTTTCGGCAAATGAAATAAATTCTAGAGGGAGACATAACGGGCCCAACAGCGCATGTCCAAATTATGTTTCCTTTAAAAGATTGAAAAAAGCAGGGTATTTGAAGACATTATTTCTGGGACGTAGATGAATAAACAATCAAAGAAAGTCAAACTTTGTGTGATATAACACGCTGCATTGAAAAATAATCCAGCTTATTTGCTGCGCACGAAAATTACCAAAAGTCATCTAAATAACCATATTTGTCAGCATTATGGCATGAAAACAAGCACGGTTACCCCCTCTTTTTATTACGTTTTTAATAACTCCTTGTCCTGTAACAACAGCATACCAATTTTCATTGGAAATCTATGGCGGGTTCTTTTACCAGGGAATCACCTTAAATTGTACTTACGCCAGTTTCGGTCAGTGTATCCTCCAAATATATACTCTCCCACTCTAATAAATGTCACCGTGGGTCCCAAGCTATTACACTGGGAGTGAAACGTACTGGAACTCCAGCCATGATCAGTRGCTCTGTAACACAGTTTCCACTTGGAGGGCAGTGTGGACACAGTACCCAGCCAACCTTTGAGAAGCTCCCAATATTCAGTTTTGTTAAGGAGGATTTCTGATGGCTCAAAATCGGGTCCTGGAAGTTGATAAGAATATCACCACGTTAAAAGAAAAGGATATGGAGGGCATTAGGTGTAGATTGACTCTCATAAGGGATCTTAATTAAGCAAAACACGATGGCAAAGGCAACGAGAACGCTGCAGCAAGTGAAAACGAAATAACGCTCAGGCATAACACAAGCAGAACGATATTTACCACACGTGGTTAAGCTTGGCCAATGAAAACACTGGATCCAGATTACCTCGAGCCTAAACAGTTTGGAAGTTTCGGATGATTTTGCTTGTGTTTGTACTTGCGTCAAAGTTCGTTTTCACTTGGGTCATCCCTGCTGCTTGCGTTTGTTCTTGCGCTTGGGCTTGCGTCGCTAGTGAAGACCAGGCTTTAATATAACGAGCAGAACAATGGGTTTGCGCGTGCGTTGTAAGTCTTTGTACATTTCCTTGCCGTCCTCCACAAAACAAAAATATAAACTGACCAAGTTCTGCATATTTTGGAGAACAGGAACGTCGGCGGCTAATTTTTCGTTTGTTTGGAATTGAACAAGTTTTGAGACCGATAGGCGGACTGAACAGATCTCGACAAATGCGAAATTGAAAAGTAAAATATGAGTTTATTTTTTCCTAGCCGTTGTCCTCGGGTCGCCGTCGTCATTGCTTAAGCTTGGTCTGCTAAGAATCTTTACTAACGACTGAACGAACGAATGGTGAAACATTTTGATCTTTATATTTCCGCCTTTCTGTCACAATAAGAGTGCAGTTAAGACGACAGATTTGGCGAATCAATGTTCTGAGTATTTATATGCCTTTTTACCTTCACATGTTGGTTCATCCTCGGTCCAGTTTCCAATTTCGTTACAGACTCTGACAAATGGTCCTC